CCCGACCCAAAAGAAAGCTCATTAGATTTATATATCATGTATATAATACATGAGCTTTAGGAACGTTATTGTGTGAAAGAGAGAGAGAGAGTGTGTGTGTTTGTGTGTGCGAGTGTGTAAAAAGCAGTCTCCTATGTCCAGTTTGGTTAAGTTTTAACAAGGCTATCACATCTCGTAACCACTCAACAGAGATGATATCTGTCCACATTCCTCCAAAACAGTAACTAGAACTTGGAGTTTTGAGGAGTGTAAACCCTGATCTAGACAGTGTGTCAGGCAAGGACAACATGGTCTGCGATTTGAAATGTTCCAGATCAAGGTTACAGATAGTATTCAATATCAATATTATCATGACTATAAATTATCATACATTGACTGGTTTGCCGCTGAACTGCATCAGGCCACTCTGGTCGGACCATCAGAATTACTACGTGTGGGAACATTGAGAAGTATTGACGTAATGAAACAAAAGATTGATTATCCCACTATTATTATAAACAATGTTGTACACGGAGATTGTGTGCTATGTGCATGTGGGAGCGTATAATATTTGCACTACTTTCATCGACGGGTTTTATTATAGAACTGCAGTTCAGACTTTGATTTATATCTTCTTGGTTCTTGCCAAGGTTTTGTTACTTCTTTTGGTAAGTTAATGAACAAGAAGTAAAAATTGTCCTAATCGATGGCATTGATATTTTAAGTAAAATCTTTAGAATTCCTGAATTCTCAATTCATAACGCTCGACTGCACAATGGAGCCATACTACATAATAGTCAAAACAGACGAACATGGTCCAAATCTTTTAAAATATGTGTAAATCTAATGTGCATAATATGCTGAAATGTTGACTCTCCAAGAGGTTAAAAATAGTAATAGCCCTCATGATGCTTGGCAAAGTAAACGACAAGAAATAATAATAGATTCTTAAAAGGTTAAATTATGTGAACGTCGAATTCCAATGTGTGTCAGTTATAGTAGTACGTGTTCATGGCACGTAAGTGGTCATTGCGACGCGGTGGTGGTAACTGTCTTTAGCGACAAAATTCATTTTATGATTTTTTAACATAGTTTTTTAAAAATGCCATTCTGAAGGTATTTATTGACAAACCAAATTCAAGGGGTTATTTCGATATAACAGCCATGGTTGCCGAAATAACATCAGGTACAGATATTCAGATTATAATTAATGTGACTGGAGTAATATTAAGCCACGTGATTGAGTATGATTAGTCGAGTGGTATATCATATTACTGGCACGGATTGTCGCTATTTAGACAGCTGTAGATAAAGGTTATTATATCTGAGCTGCGCTTGTCAGTTATGAGTACTTCAATTGGTCATAAATTTTAATTTTAATTTTGATTAAATATAATTTTTAGGATTTACAAAATCGATGGGAATTATTTACACTCAGTGCAAACATTTTAACGAGAATGGAATGAAAAGAATGTCAAAGTTTTCATGAAATGAAATGAAAATGAATGTGACGAACCTTTACAAAACCTTGAAGATCAATGACAGTGTTCTCTGGCTTAAGATCTCTGCGAAGATAAAGATGTGTTACATGTGCAATTAGTAAAGTATGTTAAAACATGCACATCAACTTTCTGGGCGTAGTAGTATGTGTCAACGCTTTATCGCTTAAAACTTAGAATAGAACTTTGTCCTTGTATTTTTAGAATAACATAAAAGTTTCTTGAAACTCAATTAGAACTCCGACCATTTTTAGATTCAACACTCAAACTTAGAACTTGGTCAGGTTATTTTTAGAATTACATACCTTAAATTCGCACCCATTCATCTAAAATTAGAAACAATGTTCACAGTAAAGATCACAATGGCAGGAGTGTTAGAATTAGATTATTTAGTGCTGAGTGCGGTAAATTTTCTGATCTTATATTCAGGAGTGGAGGGTGGCCTGGCAATGATGAGGCAAGTTCCGCTTTAAATTATGTAAGTGAAACGCGGGCGGGATGAGTTGCATAATGCATATTTCACCAACAAACAGACTGATTTTAACGATGACAGTTCTATAATTAATTCTGCCGTTTTCTGACGAAAGTGCTTTAAGACCAATCGAAAATCCGAGGTTTTTAAGTACTTTTGTCACATTGCATTGGAATTTTAGGCGGTTCCAAAATGAGGTTCCTGGGGGCCGGCGATTGGTTTTAATAGTTTCTAATGGTTTTCAGGGAGAATTCTTGAGGGTTCTTGACCCTAAAAAGGAATTTGGGTTAAAGAATCCAGAATTTCAAAGATTGTCTTTAAGCACATTTATCGGAAAACGGCAGATGGGTAAATGATTTACGTATACGTGATGTCAAATAAAATAACTTAGTTAATTTTTAAATATCATCAATCTATTCTATAGAACAATCACCATAAATGGCTTAAATGTATTTTTCGGGTATGTTTTTAATGTCGAAGCGTGTGATAGACGCACGAATTTATTTGTTATCTATTCTTAGAATCATCAAGCTTTATCAAGGACACCATTTTCATGCTATAAACTTATACTCACATCTCAGGTGAGTTCTGAGATAATTGATCACTGATGAATGATGATGATTAATTTTTGATCATAGAATTATACCTATTGGTATAAATAATGGGACAGCACTTTGTTCACCTATTATCATGTCACGTACACTGTTTTATAATAAGAGCTGAATTCAAAATGTTAAAACCTCAATTTTAGACTAAACGAGATTCATTAACATTGCTACAGCTGCGGTCATAGATCACGTATGACATCTTGTTTTCATTACTAAATTTACCTGCACCGAGCTATTATAATTTTTATTCTAGACGAATTGAAGGAACAATGTTAGCTGAATAATCGCGTAATAACTTTTGCTTTTGCAGACTGTATTGTCATAGCAGAACGGAAATGTGATCTTAATAGTGACCAGGCCTGGTACTGTACTGCAGTGTACATAGAGGATATGATAACAGGAGAGAGTAATTACGCTACACTTTACTCAATACGTGGAATGTCTTGCCAGGATTAGATGTAAAATTGTACATATTTATATATTTTGTGTTGCAGCGGTGAGTACACATACTATGGAATAATGAATGTACAGGTTGTGCAATTATTACAGTTCTAGTCAAACTTGCAAGAGTACATCCATGTACAGTTGAGTAAAGAGATCACATCAATTTGACGGCCTACCTGTCATCACACGGTACAGTATTCCGATGAAATGTCGTGACGCACATACAGTCAACAATATTGTACTGTTGATGACATGCTGTGACGCACTTACACATGGAATTATACTACACGCCATCATATATCTCTTGTGTGTGTGTGATATTATGACGTTGTGTTCACCTTGTACGTCTAACTTTTACTATGGATGTTATCACGGGGGGGATGCAACGTCAATTTATGTCAATTAATGTCAATTAATGTCAATTAATGTCAATTAATGTCAATTAATGTCAATTAATGTCAATGTCAGTTTTGCAAAATTTTGGAATACTGACATTAATTGACACGATATTTTTTGACCAGAGATTATGTAGTTCTACCATATTTTTAGCACTTTAGAACGTTTATATCATCAATTTATTCACTACTATCACATATGGAAATGTGAAATGTGAAAAAAATTCAGATCATTAAACAATAAAACTAAAATAATACGGTTTTCCGAAATTTAATTTTCTTAAATGGGCGTGGCCATCCAAGGGCGTGGTTCTCAACATCATCAGAACTTAAAACCCACATTAAACGAAATGCCTTCATGACATTTATATTTGAATAACGAATCTTAAACAGCTAGCATTACTCCTTCATACTAAAAAAGCCGATTCTAGATATTTTACCTGTATAAGAAACCAATAAAATATGGGCGTGGCCGGTGGGGACCGAAGATGGAAGAGTTTGAAGCTGAAATTTTTTTTGGTGGTCTTTGAACCTAAGGATCAACAGATAAGAACATACTCATAATTATTCAAGGACATTTTGTTTTTTGAACCGGTCTAACTTACATAGACGTGAATATCTTGAATATTTATCGAATAATGATAATCTCAAATTTCAAGACAAATTAACGTCAATTAATGTCAATTAATGTCAATTAATGTCAATTAATGTCAATTAATGTCAATTAATGTCAATGTCAGTTTGGGGTTTTTATGGAATACTGACATTAATTGACGTTGCATCCCCCCGTTATCACTTTCAAGTGTTTAAGAGGTAAAAGTGTTTCTATCCGGTACATGTTGCACGTGGGTGCAGTATGTTTCGTTATCTCTGACAGGAGTTGTGTCCACGGTTTAATCCTGGTTCCACAGAATATGATCCCCTAAATTTCATCCTTAAACGCTTTACTGTCAGTACTATCTCTTAAACGTGACTTTAAACCAGCACCAAAAATGGCAGGGTGAAATATTGCGAGAAATGTCTTAAATTTGTAGTGAGAGCGGTGCTCAATTAATCATTCCATTGAACATATATCGTTTGATCCACTAAATAAAATAAATGCACTATTTAATTACAGTAAGTTGATGAAGCTTCAAGATCTTGCTTACGACAATCAATCGCACAAAAGCGTTTCATTGTTGAGAAATTGATGAAATAGCAGTAATACCAAATGTCAAAGTTGTTTTCATGCTGTAATTTCATTGGTGTAGAGAAAAGCTTTTAGAGGCTCACGACGCAGAGATTTGAAACTAATTACTTTGTTGTCAACTCACATAATGCTGTAATGACATACCCACATCTTCAGAAGTGGACGTTTTCACATAAATATGCGAATTGGGAATCGAACAAGTGCATATTGCATGAAGGTTATGATTATGTCAAGTTTAATTAAGCTTGAAGAATGTAACGTGTGTTGAGTGCAGTGGTGCTATTACATACATGGCGCTGCTATGCGGATAAAATCTTTAAATTACATACAATTATTGAAATGAAAAAGGAAGCTGAAATGAACACTTTTTTCAATTAAAATGTCAGAAATTTTAAAGTTTCCAATTTGTCATACCTGTAAACTATGTCTAGGTTGTGCAAGTACTCGAATGCCAGTACTATTTGAGCAGCATAAAATCGGGAGTGCGCCTCGCTGAAATTGTGCAATGTCAGTGTATTTGCAACACTTTATCTAAAATATTCTAATTTAATATATTCTATAACTCAATTCGTTGGGATCAGATAAGATTCATTTAGAAGAGAAATATTACACGAACCACAAAGTTGGCACGAAGGATAATGGACATAATTAGATTGTATCTTATCTGAATAGAAGGACCGGTTAAGGGTTAAAGTAGGAGGTTGCTAAAAATACCTGAATCTTCCAATTCTTCTGAGGTGTGAGAACATTTCTCCACCAGGCACAAACTCTAATATCATGTACAGGTTCGAGTTGTCCTGGAAATTAGAATATGTAAAAATTATCATTTCAAACGATAACAGATCGGTACAGATCACAGATTAGTATAGACGGTCACAGATCACTACAGAAGAACACATAAAATCATAGTTCACAGTTCAGTACAAATTAACATTATCATAATATGTACAGACAATCATGAATTAGAATTTAACGTAAATTGTGATTGATCTAAAATTTATAGCTCTATTCGTAAAGACGTTGAGACGTCACATGCCCAAGTTGATAATTGATATTTTACATTAAAGTTGAATCATACTTTATTTGGAGTGGAAATCAACGTAGCTTAAGCTACGTTGATTTCTAAGCTAGCTTAGAAATAAAATTTATTCTTGACAATACATAAATTCTCAAGATTGTACTATCATTTATATCACCTTTATCATTTTTCAACTTTCAAATCATAATATGATCAGGAGGGTGCAGTGAAGATTTTGATTATTTTCACTGACAGTTGCATTGTGAACAAATCTCTTCTAACTTGATCATTAATTGATCTATTTTTAAACATTCCACTCCTTGACATGATGTCAATCCTAAAACTATTTTTAGCTATGTTGTTAAGTTGCATCGAAGAAATTACCTTGAAATGGTATTCCAAGTTGACGAGGAAGGGGAATTTAACAGCTTGTAAAATTCTCTTTTCGTTTAACGTATGTTCGACCTGTTTCAGTTTCACAACCTGTAAGGAGAATATCGTGATAAATTGTTTATAATAATATAATGTGACACCACTAATAAGTTACCGAATAGTGGCCGTGAGAATTAAGATTTAGGGCTGTAAATTCTATTGGTTTAACAACATTAGTTGAAAATCATCACATACCCGGTATTCATCTAGATCTTTCCAAAATATTTTAGATTTGAAAATTATAAATAGACTAGAAAGCCCGTTGTCACAGGGAAGGAGCTAGAACTAGTCTATGTGAAAACACACTTAACACAACATAATGAACACAATACCGGTCACAATACCGCTCCATTAAGTTTTGCACGTGCGCATAGGCACCCTGTTACATACTGTGTAACCTTCTAATTCTTACCCAATTTGCACGTGGGCGGTCATACAAAAAGAATCTTTTGAATTATAGTAGAGATGCCTTTTTACTGTCGAAGCACTGATACTTGGAAATAATCATACACACTAATATTATAATACATTTTATACCTTGTCAAAGTAAACAATATCTAAACAATTCTCCACTATGTGACGATTATACACTTGATAATTAGAAGTGTCACGTGACATTCAAGCTGCCATTGCACAAATTGGAGTGAACAAAAGCACATACTTTCTGCTTGTCTAGGATTTTCATGGCGTAGTAATTGGAATCTTTCTTGTTCTGAACAAGCATGACCCGCCCAAAAGAGCCAGTCCCGAGAGTTTTTATCCTGTCAAAGTCGTCCAAGCACGCGGTGTTCTGAAAGAAAGGAGGTTGAAAAATTGATTTGTTTAATTAATTAAATTGTAATGTCCATGATTTGGACAAGCTATAAACTTTTAACGAAACGCACCTTCTTTCCTACTCCAAGCTTTATGCTCCATTTTCTTGACCGTCGCATAGTCAAATAAAATTACGACAAATTTGATAATACAAATTTACGTTAAACAGATATATGATGGATGCAAATCAAGATCACAAATTAGACTATGTTTGGTTTGCTTGTACTAAATGTAGCTGTCTACGTGTTTCCGAAGAAATTGAATCTCATGTAAGCTAAGTGAATTAAATACTTCCAGTTATTATTACTCAAATTAATATCTCAACTAAATTACATTATTGCAGGGATTTATCAAGCAGCATTAGCTTGGATTGACTTGTTTTTGTTTAGTCAAGGGAATGGAAGCAAGACATTTTATTTTGAAGGACATTATTAATCGTAAAATCACTGCTTCTGCAGAATTCTATACAGCTTTGTACTTAACAAGTAAGATTTATGTAATATTATGTGTTATTTGCGTGATTTTACATATTATTATCTTTTAAACCAAATTAATTTTTACAAAAATTCTACAACCAAATTGAATTGATCTTGGGTAAGGGCTGGAACTATTACGTATATTACACGTGATGATCTTGTTAAATGCCTTAGTAAAAGGAGTCTCCAGTAATAATTCCACTTCTAGAAGCGAACAAGTACGTGACAAATTCATATCAAGTTAAATTCCTAGAATAGTGTAGTCACATGGGGATGCAGCTCTATATAATGTGTAGTCGAACCATTGGATAGGAATAATACAGTCTCACTTATACTGCATCATGTCCGAGAACTTTCTGATAATTTATTAATCAGAAACCTGTCGGGCAGATATATTTTATCTACGACTACAGCTAATTTACTTTGGTAACCCCGATCATTAGAAGTCAAGTTCTCTCTCAGTAAAAATCATAATGTGACGTACAGTAAAGTTCGATCACAGAGTGATTATCTTTAAAATATGATTATAAACAGTTAATCTGATTATAAAATGTTTGTCAGTTTAAATGTCAAAGATCACACCTAACCCGCTATACTATTATACCGCTACTAGTGATAAATAATTTAACACTGAAAATATCTCGACTCAGTATCCACACTAGACAGATGATCTGCAAAACGGTTTATTTGTCCCAGGCATATCCGGCATAATAATGTACACCAGCCAATGTACTAAATATATCCAATTAACATGTACTGTGGTGGCCAGTCCGGAAATAAGCTAATTTAAATTCCTATACTGAAGAGAGCCTGGCCTGGCACGAGGCTGTGTTTTTGTCATGAATGTAAGGCAAAAACACGTTCTTACCAGTACGATTATAATTTGATAATTAGAGAGACAATTATCCTTACATTACACGATGTACTGTAGTTAAATGGTCCACGGACTGTGGCATTATTATACTATTATAACACTTATGAAGCTAGAAGTAATTTGATAAGTTTCCAAATTTGTCTTACGATTTAAGAAATTATATTCTTGCCGCGGTCTGAATCGCATTAGAGTAATTTAAAGGTAGATTAATATAATTCTAACTCTATGATCGTAAAATTTATTGTAATATTAATGACAGATTCATACCTTGGTGGGGGCATCCCATCTTTCCTGGAACTCAGACTTGGCATGTGACAAGAATTCTCTCACTGAAACAATAGCGTTACATACAGTGTTAATTTAATTGATAACATTTCAATTGTAAAACAACTTTAATTAGAAAAGCTAACAAGAAGAGAATAAATGATTTGAGTTGGTGAAAATGAGCAAGATCTAACTAGATAGCTTAGAAAGCCATGCCAAAGTGATCAAGGCGAAGCTGCCCAAGTCTCGCAAATACTTTTATAACTCATGCTGTTAGAAAATCAGTCAAATTCAAAACCGAAAACCAGAAGTTCAAAATTGAAGTTCAAAAATTGAAGTTCAAAAATTGAAGTTCAAAAATTTAAGTAGATTTTGAGCACAAGCCAGAACCTACATTTTTCGGGATACTCTGAATTTTGCTTATTTCCTGAGCCCTTCAACAGTTTGTTGAGCATGTCTTAGCTTCCTGAATGAGTGTGTTGTGAGTGAATTGGCTTGTGGCAAATCTTACCGTGTTCTGGATCCCCTTTCTTATTTGGCAACGTGTTTCCCATGGCTGAATTGAGATTCGTTTAAAAATGCCTCAATTCATCAACATTATATATATATAATATGCATTAAACATGTTATGTATGTTTTCAAATACTTGTTTGATATGAGACCCGTAACAGCACATAGAACTTTATTGCTTGCTCAGTGCGATGTTGTTAACTAGTGCATATTTGGTAACAATCAACAGAATTATTAATTTAATGAAGACATCATTTGGAAAGCAAGACATTGCAAAATTTAATAATTATAGGATGTAATCATACATGTCTGAACTAGATAATATATCTACTGAGTAAAAAAGTCATCATAAGAAACAATCTAATATTGCTCAAACTTGAATTAGATAAATAATTTTAAAAGATCAAACACTCAAAAAGTCTACATATAATACACAAGATAAAAGATTCATCCCATATTAACTCAATCAAAACAGCTACTTCTCCTGAATTTGTTAACATTTATTATTAAACCTAATTAAAAATTTGAAAACCTTTCAACCCAAAGAAGAACAACATTAATAAAGATTCAAATTCGTTTGGACTGTGTTGATGGACGATGCCTAAAAAATTTAAACCGTTGTTTAGACAAGGTATATAAATATGGCTCGTTTCTAGATATTTCTGAATAAGAGGGTCAAGAATAATCAACTAAAAAGTATATAAAACAGCAGTCTAAGACAATTAAATTTTCAGTTTTAAATAAAATAAAAATCATTGTGGCATTCAATGTTCTTAAGCCTTCAAATGTTCAAAATATGCTATTAAAAAAAGATGTCGTCAAGCTCTCAAGAAAACCAGTCTTGGCTTTGTCTGCAACATCACGGGCAATGTTGAGTGAATGATGATACACAGAATCAACAATATTCCTTGGCTGTCGAGATTGGTTATTGTGAGGAGAATCATAATCAACATCAAGATCACTCTCAGGGTCGACTATTTCACTTCGGAATGAGCTTAAAGATATGTTTGTTTGTTCGGAAACATTGGTCCTATCACTGTAATGTCTTTGATGCTGACTCTCTAAAAACACTACAACTAAGCATTTATTGCTTTGAGACATTTGGTTTGGAAACTGCAAAACATTAGCTCTAACAAATTTTTCTGGTACATCCAAATCAATTTCAATTATCTCATCATTTGCCTGATTTTTAACCCATTCGTAGTTGGTTCTAATAAGATGAAGGAAGTTTACTTTGCCTTGATACACATGATTATCAATGAACTGAAGTTCATTACCCTCCAGTCTTTCTTGGAGATTTCTTGAGATAACTTGTTGGGCATCCAAATCAGTAACAGCGATGAACATGGGCTTGTGCGGAGTGTATTTCATGTAATCCAATATTTCATATAAAGCTTTACTGTTGTCACCCATGAGCATATGGGTTACTGCTGAATACACAAAGTATTTATGATATTTCGAGCCAGCTTCAGTACTTTGGAAAAATTCTTGACACTTTCCAAAATGTTGCAAGCTCTTTGCTAACTCAGTGCGTTCACTTGATTGCAGCCCTAACTTCCCAAGCATGCAATGGATGTTTTGCTTCAGTTTGGAATTTTCTCCTTGCAACAACAGATTTTCAAAATTCAGGTCATCTAACCCGTAAAGTGCCATTTCATAATTCCAGCCAGTTGTAACAAAATCATTTTGCATGTAATACAAATCTCCCCTTGACATACGCATTTTAGTGCTGATCAGCTGAGGCCTGGCAAGAGGAGTGCATGAAAAAGTATCCCCAAGCATCTCTTCATTCTCGAAATCTAAATCTTCATGCTTAAGAATCTTAAGCTGGGCAAGCCGGATTTTAGACAGAGCAACATTGTCCGTTGAAATGTCCATTTTTTGCTGCATCTTAATCAATTCCAGGAGAATGTTCATTGCATCTTCAAGCATGCCTTCTTGTATTTTGTACTCAATAATCAAGTTGAGCAACTCACAGTGGAGCTCATCTGATGGATTTGAAAGACTCTGGTTGACTCTGTTGATCTTTGAGAATATCATAGAAAGAAGTTCCTTATTCTCTGTTACCTTTTGAAAGTAGAAAAAAAGAGATATGTAATGAATCAAAATGGTTCTTTCCCACAATAGAAGCTTACGAGATTCGCCAGATGAACTATTGAAGTCTTCCATCATAGTTGTGACAGTCTCATATATGTCAACACATTCAATGAAAGTCAAAAATCGAACTTGCCATAAAAGTTTGAGTTTTGAAACTACACTGCAGCGAAGCATGCAGATTGATGAAAATGCTTCATCTGTGACTGGAATGTGATGAGTCAGGGCTTTTATGACAAATCTTTTCACGTTACTCCACTGTTTGCTTAGATTCTTGTCCTCATTCAATGACTCAATTATTATCTCACAATATCTGAGATATTCAACACAGAAGTGAGCTAGCAGCTTATCCCATATGCTGTCTCTGAATTTATCAATAGTCATCAAGGGTTTCAGAAAGTTTGCATAAAGGAAATACCTATCATCGGTTAAAACAAGGAGTTTGCATTCAACAAGATTATCTAAACATTGAGAAATGAGTTCTGTGTCATAATTCAGTTTAGTGAGAATAAAAGTTATGTAGGACTCATAAGCACCTCCAACATCATGATACATTGCAACAGATGCAATGACATGCATTTCATCAAAGTTGTTGCGTACATCTACAATTGCTTTGAGTGTTTGTGTAACAAAGTCTTTTTCATCATCCAAAGTTGGCAACTTCTTGAGAAACTCAAAATGAGATTCTTTAACAGAAATGAATAAAGAACCCATCAGTATAACATGTAAAGGATAATGAGGATACTTTTGAATGCTAGATTTCAAAGACTCATATTTTCCCTCTTTAAAATCAAAATTAGAAGTAAGTATTTCTTCAATTTGATCATTAGCACAGGAAGGCATCTCATACATTTTGGCATCAGGCAGCAAGTCAACAGCTTTGAGTCAATCAAGGTAAAAAATATTAGAATTCCTTTCAGTTTGACCTCATGGTGAATACTACAATCAGAACCGGAGCCATCCTTCAATCTTAACAATGAAATACGGTCACAACTGTCCAGAAATATTGCTTTCTTATCTGTAAAGGTTTTCCTTCCCACAAAGAAATCTAGTTCTCCCAGTATTGAAGAGAATCTCTTGGCTTCAAGATCCAGATGCAGGCACTCATAATTGTGGTTTAAATTCAGGCGATGCTTGATGTCCCTGATTAATGCTGTTTTACCTGATCCCTTTGGACCAGTAATGACAATTTCTTTAATTTGATGACTGAAAATATCAGCTACTATTTCGTTGACCAGATTTGCGTGTATGTGGCTGGTCTGTGACACAATGCTCATTTCACGAGAGAGCAAACCATCTGGAATACTTGTGCAGTCAGATGGAGCTGTGTCCTGTTTCAGTAGAAAATACAAGAATGAATTCACGGAGAGAATCCACAATGAAAGATTGCGCACATTCATCGCTCAGAATCCTACAAATTTCTGCAAATGCATCTGGAACATCTTTTAAAAATATTAGCACAGCAGACACTGATAATGTTACATCTGAAGCTGCATTACCAAGGTAAGATGCATAGTCTGCAAATGATTCTTCTAAATAGAAAAGAATTTCCTCTTTGTTGACATTAGAGTTGATGAGGTTCTGCAAATGAAGGATTGCACCTTGTTCTGCAGCATTCATTCTTTTGATCACATAAACATATTCTAGATGAAAATTTGAAATTGTTAAGGCATGAACATGCAATGAATTTTGAAATCAATTTCAAATAGTTCATCAGAAGGAGAAATTAAGAATCTGATGAAAACAGTACACGATAAGGGTGTATAAAGCCAAATTTGTAAATTTAACTCGTCGAATTTACCATACTTTTGATGTTGCAAGGAAATATTTCCGAAATATTTGCCAGCAATTTGAAGGCAAAATCAAAAGCTGTGGAGTAAAATGTTGCAACTGCACTGGGCAAGTAAATAAAGTCAAAGCTCACCAGTCACCAATGGGACAGATGGCACAAGTATAAGTAGGGCTTGAACCTGCTTCTTTGATTTTTAAGGGCGCTGGTGCAGCCAGGTGGTCCTGTAGCTGTGGTCGCTTGAAGGGACTTCTAATCGGAAGAGACCTGCTTGTGCCATCAATCCCAGAGGGTGCGCTTAACTCCTCTGGTCAGCAGATCCAGCTGATGTTATTGTATTTCATACAGCTCTTTAATGACTACCTCTTTTTCTTCTCCTTAAAAATCTCTATACTTGATTTTCGAATCTGAGCTTTTATTTCAACAAGCTTTCCTAATCTTTGTAGAAAAAACACTCTTGAATTGCTGAAGATTATTTTGTGAGGATTATTTTCCGTGCCTGGCGTGCCAACTGATTCACACTGTTTTTTGAAAACTGGCCACGGACCTAAATATTACATATCAATCAATAACAATTCATTAAAATTACCAATATTAAAAACTGGACTACGAATCTAAGAAAGTATTCTCTAGCCAAAGGGCTCAATATTTAAATCTAAATCTTCAATATTGTCTGGTTTATATCGCATCTTGGGCCCTCTGTCCCTCCTTATCGAAATAAGCAAGTGCTTTCTAACATACAGATTTACACTGTTAGCTGATTTTCTAACCGGCTGAAAATTGCTTTTAATCACAAGCCCACATTGCTGGTTGAGGCGGAATAAATTATTTTCAACATACACAGGAAATGTATTCAAGGAAACTTTGCGTCATGATGAATGTGCTGTCACGAAAGCCCAAATAGCATTTACAGCATTGCGATCTGTTGGGGTATTAACTATCTTTAAAAGGTCTGACGTAAAGCAGCCACGAGAGATAACATAAAAATAAAAAGTCATTCAAACAATATATACATACAATTAAATTAAGTGATGCAATTGGCAGAGCACAATACATTGGTAATATATAATGGAAATGGTCCATTGCTACCTATAAAACTTTAAACAATCAAATATGTACGCACAGATTTTCAAAACACATCAACTACTCCATCATCGGAGCAGGGGTGAGGTTGTACGAGACTGCTGATAGAGGGGTCTCATGTTTGATGTCAATCTTCTTTCCTTTGTACCCACGTGCACGAAGAGCGATAAGAGTTGTTCTGAGCATAGCAAATGTAGTTATCTACAAGAGATAACTACGAATAAGAAATTTTAGGTGCCCGAGCGTAACACAGTGCTTGTTGATGTATCTCTAGAGTACTTTACGGACGATTTCGATTACAGATTAGTATGCAAAATTATTAGGACAATGTATTAAAACAAAACTTGTAGCGTGATGCGCTACTCTGCCGCGCCGAGCTGCGATGAATTGACATCTTCAATTAAAACAAGACGTTAGGGCAAGATTTAAAAAAATATGTATTTCCCGGCCAAATGTAAAAATATGGAATTAAGTATACTCTAGTAAATAGAATTTTATTAATTCACTCGCCAGCGCGCTATCACGTGACTTTAATACCGTGATTTCATTGCATGGTCACCTTCATAATGTGGTGAATTTAATTATTTAAATTTCTGACGATCAGATCGTTGATCTGCAAATTTGCAAAGAAAATATCTGGAAGGGTTGACATCGTCAATCAACCCGAGGCACGAAGGTCCAAATGTCGATTGTCGACGTACGTACAGTAGCGCTCGTTGTGTCAGTCCATTAACAATAGACAATTTTGAGATCGCAGTGGCAATTCACATAGCCATGTGCCTACGCGTACTGCGTGACGCGCTTGTTTCACAAGGTCGCGCGCTACTGCAAGCGAGAGGGCTCTGGTTAGAGCAACAGTGGCAAGCATTTGGCATGGAAAAACCATTTTAGGGCAAATTGAATTATTTCCAACGGGATTCTGTTTTCAAATTTCATCATTTACCGTACCAAGACTGTGCGCCGAGTTGGATTCGTCGACGTGCGACGGCGCGGTTGGCGGTCTGGAACAAATTTTGTATTTTACGAGTCATGCAGAGTATCACCTATTAAGATTCCGAGTGTATTAAATCACTTTGATTCACGATGTCAATTATTCCTAGCTGGGCGGGGCCCAGTGAGGCATCTTGCCGATCTACGGTTGCGAGAATATGCGCGGCGCGGCCCACTAGTGCATCGCGCTACAATAAATCACGCTACAGTCGATCTTCGAAAAATTGTTCTAAAATGTAAAAGGGCCCCCGACAGTTGAAACCAGCTCTTGATTCCTTACCTGAGGACCCCATGCTTTAATGTTGGTAACATGAACAACCGAATAGAGATAAGGCGGAATGACAGGCTGAGCGCGGCCCAGTAATTGATTCCATGTATTTTTGGACGCTGATTCAGAATCACCCCCCATGTAATGCTCCTTGCCGAGAAATTGTCGAAAAACTGTCTTGATCACCAATCACGTGATATGACCGTATAAGGAAGTTGGTCGAATTTCTCGTTAGGGTTTCAGCATATATATGCTTTTATTAGCTGGATTGGGTTGTCATACGTTGTATGACCCGCCGCGCACGAAGTGCGCGGCTCCCCCTGTATCGTCAGTGAAACGACCGTGGGGGTCGCTTAACGTGATACAAGGATTGGGTTAGGGTTAGGGTTAGGATCAGATAAGAGGGTTCCGGTTAGGGTTTCGAATAGTCGTTCAGGGCCAGCTGGAGAACGGGTTGAAAAAGTCACGTGACAGTCGAGTGTAGAGTGATTAATCATCATATCCTTAAGATTCTGTCGAGCAGAACATTCTACAGCAACAGTAACAGTAACAGCCCCAGAAAAACCTACTAGCTTTCACAAGCTTTCCGAGGGCGCGCGCTACTGCAAGCACGAAGGCTGAACAATTGATCAGCTCTTAATAATTGGGCTGCAATCCTTGACAGGCCTATAATTACCCAATTTTAAATGAACGATATCTCATTCTATAGTATGATGAGCCATGAGGGCGTATATACAATATAGAGAATGCTTCCCGGAATCAACACAATGAAGGGAACAAGATTCTGTTGGAATTTTAATTATTCATCTATGATCTAGTGATCCGTAGTCCCTACGATTACGAAGGCTCTTTACTTGTTAGAGCAACTGACTACTGACGTGATCGAATTTGTCTTCAAGGATGATACCCGTAAAGGCGTAAATATTTGTTTCAAATATCAGTCGGTAAATTATAAGCCTACAAAATTTGTCCGTCTGCCAGCGACATCCATTTCAGGTTCAACAGTAAAATGTGAACTAATTACTACACTTCTTTGCGAATTGGTAAAATTAGTTTATACAATACACATCGTACAACTACAATACAACAATCAAAATCCGAATTAACAACTTGTCCAATATTATTATTATCTTTAAATTTTTAATCTGTAAGCACAGAAGCTATCTTGACCTTCATTATGATCGATATCTAGGCGGAGGATGTGAATTCGATTAGCTGCAATATTAACCGCATGTACACTTTTATAATATTAATAACATTTTGTCGTGTTCATGTCAAATGATTAAATAAAACAGTTTTTAACAAACTCCAAGATAAAACAGTCAGGGATTTTACTGTTAGCTAAACTCAAAATTTAGGTGATAAACAAAAACAATTCCTTAAAAATCTAAGCTGAAATCTGGTGATGGACTAATTCCGATTTTTATGACTTAGTGAATAGTGATGTTAATAAATCATATAAATTAAGACTATCATCTATGAGAATTTATCATAAGACAACTTCTTATTTATAATCTTCTCCGATCCTCTCTGTCAGAATTTACTTATCAATAACCGTAACGATTAGTTATGTCTTATGTATTATAAGGAGTAAGATGCAGGATGGTTATGATTTTGAACATAACATTAACAAATTAGTCAAAAAATGAAAAAGGCATCGAGCAAAAACTGGAAGGTGGTTGTTGCCTCAATTAATTGATTACACAACAGTTGAGCGAGGATACATTTTCTTAGTCACAGCAATCTTTAATCACTTTTTTCGCACCACCAAATCACATTAACTCCACACAGACGTATCACGAGCAAATAAATAGCTAAATCAATAAATAAAACAGAGCGCTGATGAGTCAGTCTCCGGGGCCCTTTTTCAGATCCACAGATACAACCCTAAAAAAAGTAGGAGCATCATACACATTATAGTGCAGGTCGTAACCAGTGTGGCTGAAAGTGGCGGGCCCTGACTCTATATTCTCCTCATCGGAGTCAAACGCAAGGTCTAAGGTAGAGAAGCTGTGTTTCATGGCGTCATTTTCAGAGGTGGAACCACCGAGAAGGTTCTTACGTAAGACAGCATTAGTGAGACTCCGTCTGTTTCTTGGAGAGTTCTTGTGGAAGTTCACTCGGAGCGGTACCGGAGTCTTATTGTTCCAGTCCTTCTGGGAACATGGTGTGTCAGCAGCTAAAAGTGGGGCGGCAGCAACATTTAACATCATTTAGAGAGAACACTGAATTCACAAACTGCTCTGGTGAGAAGTAACAAAAAAGAAGAAAACGTACATATTCCAGCTGGATATTTTAGATTGCTGTAACAAGAGGAGAGGTTTTGTCACGGTTAGAGTTCATGACACGACAATCATATAGGATTATTTATTGATTATTTGCTCAATTTGTGCCTTCCGAATTATACTAGACAGCTAGAAAACCCAAATATAATCGGAAGAATTGGTTGCTGCAAAATTAAAAAGGGTATTAGAAATCACCATAATATGATGTTTTTACCATAGTAACGCTACCATATCAGTGGTGTTACCATGGTAACACTGCCATATAAAGTAAAATAAAATTAAAGATATTTGACAGCTCAGCCAAAATTTTCAAAGAATCTGTCCCGCTACAACACAGTTTTGCTGAAAGCAATCATCAGACTCTTTAAATACACATTTCCGCATCTTTACATGACCATATCTTGTGCGAAACTTGAAACAACAGTAACACTCAAATTCAATTTCTGGGCTGCACGATGGGAGACTTTGAAATAAGAACATAAAAAAGATCCCACTTAATTCATCCTATATGATCGTTAACATGTCTTCTCAAATCATCACATCCTTGAGATCCTAGTATCCAGGAACCTGCTCTACGGCGGCCTTATGCTCTGTGTATAAGCTAAGTCCGTTAACGAGAGACAAGAGAAAATATTGTTAGCTAGATCGTCATGGGTTTCAGTGTGAGTGTAAGTTCGAGCCCAGGCATGATCGTTGAAGCTGCGACGGAGGGGAGACTCTCGGGTAAGAGTGCTACCAGGAGACTCGACCGAGTGCTGAAAGTTACAGTACAACTTGTTAACACTCAAAACAAGAGGTTGTTAGCGTAGGAAAAGAATTAGCTGGTAAATTAAATGAATCAGTTTCAGTGCTTAGATAAATGGAACGATTGCAGATTTTGGGCTTTCTCCACTATTGATATTATTAAGAACAGCGTGCTTTTTTATAAGTATCAATACAAATCAGGTGGCTTCTTTAAATCTTTACAGCAAGAAAACTCAGTTGCTTAGTTACAACATGACGTCACGTGATTAACAACATCATAACATGACGTCACGTGATGTCACGTGACTCACCTCGACACTCTCGTTAGAGAGCGCTAAGCCAGTGCTGCTGATGGTCGAGTTGGAGCCGAAGTTGACTGAGGTGGGGAGGCTGACTATCTCCCCGGTGGAAGAACTGTTGTCCCACGTGGACAGGTAGATCAGATCACACTGAAGGGAGGGAGGGGAATTAATTTATTAATTACCGTGTAGTTTACACCTTACCTTATATTTTATGAACATATTATTGTCAAATAAGGAATGATTAAGGTTACATTTTAGCATGTGATGTGTTTGGACTTCGGAGCAGAGGGTGTTCAAAAAGGGTGTTCCAAAAGTCATGTTAGGATAATGTACTTTTTGAATAACTTTTTATCCATTTGTCTAATTTTTATTCTGTAAAAAGGAACTGGTAGTTCTATTCCATACAACCTGGATCCCCAGTTTAAAGCGCAATTAAAAGTCATTTGGTCGATCAGAGAAAAATTACCTAAATTTACCTTGGTTGCTACGGGACCGATTGAGGTTGCTATGGTGGTCACGGTAACGTAAAAGTCATCATTAAACCATAGAACTACCAGTTCCTTTTTACAGAATAAAAGTTACAGTAGGCAAATGGATAAAAAGTTATTCAAAAAGTACATCCTAACAAGACAATCTTTTTAGTAGAGATTAGATACTCACTCTTATTGCTAGATAAGAGACACACGTTACATCTATACTGTGAACCACGTTGCCATTGCTTGCCATTCTTATCTCTATACCTTGTTGTCCTATCGCCATGAAATACGGTAGCGAGCTGTGAATCTGCAATGTTTGGATAGAAACTTGAGTAAGTTAAGTTAGTTAGTAAATAAGTAACCAAGCAAAGGAGAAACTGATGAAGTATTTGTATTTTATTAATATTTGTTTGTAACTTACATGTAAAGGTTTGACGTTCCACTTGATAAGAATAGTAAATATATTGTCAGGATGCAGTGTAAACTGTTCCAAAACTGAGATATCTGAAAAAGAAAAAAATTACTTTAATAACATTAGTTACTCTTATTAGTTAATTTTGTTAAGTTATAAAATTTAAAAAAAGGAAAGTGAAACAGAAAGTGCTTACTATTGTAGGTGAGAAGGACGCCAATAGCCCAGTTGTTTATCTCATCCTTCACTACAGGAGTTATACATAAACTTGTGTTCTCCTGAAACGCAACAAGTTAGCAAGTTTTTTTTTGTATGTCAGCGAGGAAGTAAATCTGTCATAAAAACAGCAGTGATGTATTTTCTTTTCAGAGACGTTCTATAGACTTTTATAAGACATCACCTTGTGTTTTTGAAGACGCTCTATACACTTTCTTTTGTCATTTTCGCCTGCTTCTGCGTCTATAATCAGGAACTCTGAAAGTTTACACTGTAGAAATTAATGGATATACAGTATACAGTATACACTTATAGTACAGCGATAGTAACTAGTACTGTAACTAGTGCTGTATATTGAAAAAATATCTTGTATCACGTTGTGACCCCCACGGTCGTTTCACTATGGTGAGTTTCTACGATACAGGGGGAGCCGCGCACAAGTGCGCGGCGGGTCATACAACGTATGACAAGACAAATCATGAAGGCTGAAGAGTATCATCTAGCTTTTCTCTGTCCTGAAGCAACATTTAAGTTAGGCAAACTTTTGTGCTCACGCATGACTTGCCTGAAACTGCTCTATTTGCGGCAAATGTGCAACAAAATTAGTTGCATATGCGGATAGAGTACGGCGATTATTTGCAAAATGTGCGGCAAGTTTGGGTCGTGGGACTGCTAATAGGCGGGTTTATCTAATAATTTGGGAGGGGGGGTGACATGTCCGCCAACGTCCGCCTATGTCCTGTCCTTTTTGGATTCTATGAGACAACGGACGTGTTTTTTGGAAAATTAGCGGAAATTGACGGACATTGGCGGGCTCGGACGGACATGGGTGGACATTAGCGGGCAAATATTATCAGAATTTTTTACACATAATTTGGACAATTGGAAGGAGCTTACATTAATAAGAAGCCTATTTTCATAACCTATCGATGCATCCCCTTTGCGATTCAATCTCAGAAAGTAGGCCTCCTTTTTCAAACCGAACTCGGAATCGGATTTTCGGCACATGATGATCAGGGTGGCATGAAATTGAAACATGAACTGAAGTAGTTTCCAGAATTAAAACTTTGAAAAATGTCGACTTAGAAAATTTTCTGTCCGAGTCATTCTCGATACGTACCTCTGAAAGCAGAGCTCTCGCTTCCGAGCTTGTATTGCCAAGGAGAGGCCTGCCTTCCGACATCGCATTACAAAGGGGAACCATCGAGTCCAAAATTGGATATCAAAGGGTAGGGTGGACTTCGAAAACCGAAAAAATACAGGGTGGGCCAAAAGTCAGTGGGCATACGTTGGCCTTAATAGCTCCGCCGTGTTTTATATTTGAGAGCTGTTGCTTTGCAGATGGCATACTGGTTCGAGGATTCCGTCGTCAAAATTTGAAAATTCGAATATTTTAGACCACGCCCATTCAATATTAAAACACCTATATTTTTTTCTGAACATGCTGAATGCCTAATTTTTTCAGAAATGGTAGAATATTAAATTTTGCATAGGGGTCGTTCACATATTACGTAATAAATATTTTGGCAATCAAGACCGAACCCCCCCCCCCCTATATAACGTAATCAAGGTTTGACCCCCCCCCCCCCCCCCGTAATCAAGACCCAACCCCCCTCCCAGGGGTGTAGGAAGCGGGGGGGGGGGGGGGCAGGGGGGGCATCGCCCCCCCCCCCGATGAAATCCGGGCAAGGGGCCAAAAAGGGCCAACTTTTTAATTTAGGCTTCTAAAGATTTTAGGGAACATTTTTTTCCCAGAAAATTTTAACATTTAAAGTCAAAATTTCTTTAAGTCAAAAATTTTCTATGACAAAAATTTTCAAAGTTTTTTTGAAAACCACTTTTGTTCATGTTTCATAATACCCTATTCATTATGAGCCAAAAATATTTTTTTCGGTTTTCGAAGTTCGATATCAGATATACGATTTTGGACTCGATGGTTCCCCTTTGTAATGCGATCTCGGAAGGCATGCCTCCCCTTCGCAATACGAGCTCGGAAGCGGGAGCTCTGCTTTCAGAGGTACGTATCGAGATTGACTCGGACCGAAAATTTTCTAAGTCAAAATTTAAAAAAGTTTTCTTGGAAACTACTTTTGTTCATGTTTCATGCTACCCTGATCATTATGAGCGAAAAATATTTTTTCGGTTTTCGAAGTTCGATACACGATTTTGGACTCGAGGGTTCGCCTTCGTGATGCGATCTCGGAAGGCAGGCCTCCCCTTCGCAATACGAGCTCGGAAGCGGGAGCTCTGCTTTCAGAGGTACGTATCGAGAATTTGACTCGGACCGAAAATTTTCTAAGTCAAAATTTTTAAAAGTTTTCTTGGAAACTACTTTTGTTCATGTTTCATGCTACCCTGATCATTATGAGCCAAAAATATTTTTTCGGTTTTCGAAGTTCGATACACGATTTTGGACTCGAGGGTTCGCCTTCGTGATGCAATCTCGGAAGGCAGGCCTCCCCTTCGCAATACGAGCTCGGAAGCGGGAGCTCTGCTTTCAGAGGTACGTATCGAGAATGACTCGGACCGAAAATTTTCTAAGTTACAATTTTTAAAAGTGTTCTTGGAAACTACTTTTGTTCACGTTTCATGCTACCCTGATCATTATGTACTTACTAGTAACCCTGATCATTCTGAGCCGAAAATACATGTTTCGGTTTTTTGAAGTCCGTACCTACATTCGGAAGGTTTTGGATGTAACACTGATTGGTTTCATATTGATATACTAATTATAGAAAACGTGATATTTGGCCCACAGATTTGAAGGAAAATACGCGAATTCGGTCCTCAGATTTAAAGGAAAATGCGCAATTTGACGCGGAGAACTGAAAAAATCGCGATTTGTCGTGAGGCCAGGATCTGAAAAATCGCGACTTGTCGCGGCAAACGTGAAAAATCGCGATACCGCACATGCTGCAATTTCCTTTTGTCCTCGAAATTCAGGCTTTAGCGCCAAAAAATTTAGGCTGTGGCCCCCCCCCCCCCCCCCCCCCCCCCCCCATGAAGAAAATCATTCCTACACCCCTGCCCCCTCCTATATTACGTAATCAAGATTATTACTATCTATTGCATGTTCATGTTAAGCCATTTATTTATTAAAAGCTATCACAACGGATTAATGAATGAAATAATCGCAAAGCACTTTAACTAAACGAAAATTGGTTTAAAAAACGAAAATTTTGATTACATAATTAACGGAAAATTGTCCAATTGGTATTTCGAAAATCGGTAAAAAATTAAAATTTTGATTACGTAATCAACGACCAAACCCCTTCCCCCCCCCCCCCCGTAATCAACCGTAAGCATTTGAAACCCCCGCCCCCCTCGGCTGATTACGTAATATGTGAACGACCCCAGATGATCTGAAAATATGAGGCAAAACGGATTAGAAATGACGAAGTTATCAAGCATTTTCGGCAGTATCGAGATAGCCCGACCACTGTCCGCGGACAACTGTCCGCGGACACCTGTCTACCAGATTATATTACTGCATAATAACAGTATCCCCTGAATCAAGCAGGGTTCATATCATCCTCTGAATCAAGCAGGGTTCACATCATCGAAATAATATGGACAGAATTATCTATCTATGCCAAGGATTTAGTATGCAGTAAGCTGCGTCTAGCAGACTGAGCGAACAATTCCACCACTTCAATAATTCACTAGGTACCAAGTTGCTTAATAAACGAGCTACTTTAAAAACAGCTTTAAACTGTCTTCACTTACAATAGACATGGATTGAGTCTCGTGTTATATAATGAACAGAGTTCAATCTTACCTGGGGACACCAGGCTATTATGTTGATAAACATAAAGATTCGGCAGAATGACAGGCTGGCTGAGCGCCGCCCCGTAAAGTTCTACTTACTTGTACTTGAAAAGGTCTCCTCCTAGTCGTTGGAGTGGCCTGCACCACATAGTAACTCCTTTCTCCGGTGTATTAGACCTCTCCAGTGAACCCTGTCTGTAGCTTGTTGTTCTGCATCTTCTATCGTGATGTTATCGACACCTGTGAAGATTGCTGCATCCTCCCGGACACATGACAACCAGTTTTTCCGAGGTCTACCTCTTGACCTTTCACCATGCTTTGGGATCCAGTGCAGAAGATAGTTGGGTATTCTTTCTTCTGGCATCCTCACCACATGGCCAAACCATCGGAGTCTAGCTGCTCGTACGAAAGTATCAACAGGGGCGATGTTAGCCCGCTTAAGTACATCAGCATTAGATACATGATAAAACCATTTGATTTTCAGGATTCTCCTCAGACATCTGTGATGGAACACCTCAAATCTTTTCATCTGCGTCTGTGTGGTATTCCATACCTCACTTCCATAAAGCAGTATAGTGAGCACAGCCGCTTTGTAAATCCTGATTTTAGTTGGAGTCTTAATGCTGCGACTGTACCATATACTGCTAAGCTGATAGAATGCCCCAGAGGCCTTTTGAATTCGAGCTGATAGTTCTTTGTCAATTGTTCCATTCGCACTGATGATTGCACCCAAGTAAGTGAAATTGCTGACCTGCTGTATTGGGAGACCTTCCACATTGATGTCCATAGTGTCGTCTTTAGAATACGGCCTCTGCGATGCACTTTTGCTGACAACCATGCTCGGTGTTTTGCCAGCATTAATCTTCAGACCCGCATATGCACTGTATTTGCAGAGAAGGTCAGTGGTTTCCTGCAGCCCCTCTTTTGAGTTATCTAACATGGCCATGTCATCAGCGTAATCAGTGTCCAAGAGATGTTTCTCTTCTACCCCGGGGGCTGGCAGCTGTAATAAAGCCCCCTTGCTAATGACTTTGTTTAGTTCCATAAGGTATGCCGAAAATTCAAACAAAAGTTGAAGACTGGTGGTCCCTGTATATCACCTTGCCCAGTTCCCGAGTTGACATCAAACCAGTCTGTAACCTCTCCATTGACCCTAACAGCACTAACTGTGTGAGTGAAGAACGCCTTCATAATTCTAATGTACTTGTCAGGTAAGCCGTAGTGCTGCATACTTCTCCAAATGAACTGCCTGTCAATCGAATCAAAAGCTGCTTTGAAATCAACAAAATTAATATACAGAGGAATATTATACTCAATGCATTGGTGTATAATACAGCGGAGTGAATAAACCTGGTCAATACATGAGCGATTCTGTCTAAAACCACTTTGATTCTCCCGGAGAAATTTTTCCATGCCATTGCTAAGTCTCCGCAGGAGTATCATCTGCAGGAGCTTCGAGGCTGTGGATCTTAACGTAATGCCTCTGTTGT